ATCCAAGTTGCTGAATTAAATTTACACAACTAGATACTTTACAATCGCCAACAATGTGCGTCATTATTTAAAACTCCCACACTGTGAAAACCCTTAGCATATTAGGATAAAGTATTCATTGTGAATCCTAATATAGCATAATAACATGTTTATATTCGATGCAACAGTCCGTTAAATTTTTAAAACAAAACTTAGCGCACTAGTCCTTCCTATCTGTTAGCAGCGTACAAAGTCGCTTATTTTTACACTGTTTATTCCATTTGCCCTATGAACCAAAATATACAATTAGAAGAATTAAAATCCCTTAAAATTACTTTTAGAAATCTCATTCCAGTCCCTGAAACCATTTAGAATTTCAAACATGGCCCAAATAGTGCCCAAACAGCTCCAGAATGCATCCAAACGTGTCTTAACCAAGGGAGCCTGCTCTAAAATCAAAGAGCAGGCTCTTTTTCACTTAGAGCCAGCTTCCTAACCCCTTGGAGCCGGCTCTTTGAAGGTGGAGACGGCTCCCACAAATCTGGAGCCTTTTCCTCCCACTTTGAGCCTTCTCCACTCTTCTGCTTCACCTTCTTCTTCCACGGCGATCTTCAACCTTCTATTCCCAGTTTTTCCCTAAAGTTTTTTAGAGTTCAAACAAGGTCTAAAGAGCCCTAGAAATTCTTTGAATTCCATTATAAATTGATTTACAGAGGTTCAAATCCGAATCGAAGTAGTCTATACAAGGAAGCAAACACAGTTATACACAAAACGTAGAACAGATTTCAATTTGATTCATTATGCATAAACACTTGTTTTAAAGTTTATTACATCCCTGGAGTCTATTTAGAATGCACAAAACACAAGTTTATAGGAAAGGAATAGACTGAAACTTGCCTCACGATTCCGGTTTGAAACCTTAAGCGTCGTCTCTAAGTTTCAGAATTCTCCAAGTCTGTTTCCCCTCTGCTCTGCTCACAGTTCCCTTCCTCTATTGCTTCTTGGTTCCATCCAGAAGCAACCCCTCTGTTCTTCCTCCTTTAGCCTCACAGAAAATCACCCGAGACCCTCTCTGTTTCTCTCAAGACCAGTCTAGAGCCTCAGTTTTCCTTCTCACAAATATTACGTGAGTAGGATTGTTCCCAACCCTAGCAGACTTACAAGAAAATATATATAGACGTCCCAAACCCTAATCTGCGTAACTCTATATCTACCGAATTTAATTTAAAACCTAATATAAGTCTGCGTCCATACTATATAAAAATAAAACCCTAATCCTATATCATATACAAGACCAAATAAAACAATTAATTTAGACAACTAAACAATTAACATTAAACACTTACTTTAAAACAAATACACAATTAAAATTAAACAATTACTTTAAAACAAATAAACAAGTAATTTAGAATCAAGAACAAATACACAATTAATGTAAAATAAAGAAACAATTAAACAATTACGCAAATAAGCACATAAATCACATAATGAAATAAAAATGCAATAAATCAAATTTAAATTTCCATTGTATCCTTTTGAAAACTAGGGTTATTACATTCTTCCCCCCTAACAAAAGGAATTCCGTCCTCGAAATTCACGAAACTCTGAACTAATGCCCTTGTAAAATTCATTTCCGTTTTTATGTGGCACAACCTCTTGAGATGAGCCCCACCAAATTCCAACATGTCTAACCATATACTGAGTGTTTATGTATAAGCAATAGCATAAATGTACAACTCTTAGGTTGTATTGATCAATGATCCAATCTTACCCAATAGTTAACGAAGGTTAACTATCTTTGTTCCTCCAAGTTCCATAGAACAGACACATAAAATTCCCATGCATCCAGTGCTAGCTATTTAGTAACGCTAAACAATATGGTACAGCCTAAATCGAGAAACAACATCCTGGAAAAGTCAGTGTAATACATAAAACTGACCTTCCTTCAAAAATATTATTTCCAATACGAAAGTCCTTCCAACAACTATTTCCTGATAGAAAACTCTCATGTACGAGTTCAACTATCTACAAAATCCGACTGCTGCCTCCAAACCGTGCGCAATCATTACCAAAAGAGAGTATTGATCCCATCCAGTGGACCCCTTATTAAAACTCAAACTGAAACTAAAATAAAGTCTAAAACTAAACATAGAAAAGATTCCTACGTAGTCGGAGGAATGAATATCTGTATCTGCTCTGCACGTCCAAGCTCTAACCCTGGAACTGACGGACACCTGAAAAATAATGAGTGGGTCAGGCCCACATGCAAGTCATATTCTACTACGATCTAAGCAGTAATCCGATACGCAGATACATCCTAGATAGCTCAACAATATCTATCTAGTCCATACATATATATATCCACACTAAGGGATATTCACTGGACTACAGTAGGGGTCTCAACCTGAATAGAAGGCAACATGCAAAAACGCACCCAAAGGTGGGCATGAGTACCTAGACCTAACAGGGTACACCTCAACCTACTTTAACCAGTTACGCATCCACTGCATATACGCACCCTAACCAACGAGTCTGAAACTCAAGCTCATCTCGTGGTACCATAAACATATATATAAAGTCCATCCAAACCCAGAGTATGTCATTCAAATACTTATTGAGATAACATACGATATACAAATTAGTTAGTCACTCAACTTATTCAGTTGATATGACTTAACTACCATCCATTAATCCAGGAAGCCATTCAACTTAGTCGCAGTTGATCTGACTCAATCACAATTTGAATTCAATATTTTTCAATCCATCATTTAATTCATTAGGGTAGGTTTAAGCGTTTTGAGCTAAAACGTCCCTAGTATGTCACCGTCCCATACCGGTGCATACAATCCTCCATATCCATGTAAATTACATAACATAATAATAAGCTAGTAGTTTACAATCCAAACCATTATCCATATCATTGCAGAAAGGTATTAAAAATTTCAGCAATATAAATTCCAACATTAATTCATGTAATTGCACTAGAGAATTTGATATTCCAACACTTAACATCCAGAGCATGCATAGTTCAAACCTTAAACATAAAATGATCTATCATGTATCTAATATAAGATTTATCATCTTATTATAATCCATTATATTGCCCAAAACCAAGCTAAGCAATTTGGTTCTTTCCATCCATTATTAGTATGCTAAGTTGTATGCTTTTATACTGATTCATCCTTTAAATAATTTATAAAAATTTATTTACATATCCGTATTGTCGAATTTCCTAAGCATAAAAAGTGTATTATGCATTTTAGAACCATCCAAAGTCCATTTAACCCATTTAGATTACTTAAAATAGATTCTTAAACAATTATGGGCAATTAAAACTAAGTTCCAGGTCGCGGCCCAACTTAGTCGGCTCAATTGCCAACTGAGCAGGCTAAGTTCCTAACTTAGTCGGCTAAATTTCCAACTGAGTCGGCTAAGTTGCCTACTTAGTCGGCTCAGTCTCCAACTGAGTCGGCTAAGTTGGTGCTGATGCCGTCTTCTTCGTCCGTTCAGCTTCTGTAAACCCTAAAACTCCATTGCTAAGGCCTTTAAGCTTCAACCTACGTCCCATACATCCATACTAAATTATTTTAAGTGTTTTAACATGCAAATATTCAATTTAAACAACAGTTCATGCATAAAGATCACAAAACTAAAAAAAACACGAACATGTATGTATAACTCTGCAACACTCTGTTTTATTTTGATTAAGCATGCATAATTAATTTGTTTTAGCATTAATTAAACTCGTGGAGTTTAGCTAGGCATGCATAGAATACGAATTAAAGGGAAGGAGCAAGGACAGAAACTTGCCTTTGAGTTTCAGATTTGAAACTCTAATCCACGTCTCTGAACTTCCAACTTTGTTCCATGCCTCTGTTACTCTTGGCTAACCCAGAAGCAACCCACTCCTTCCTCCTTGAGCCTCTCTATTAAACCCTCAAAGTTCCTTCTCTGTTGCTCTCTGTATTCCTCTCTATAACTCTCCGTTTCACAGTATTCATGAATAGGCTGAATATGGTTTGTTTTGTAACCCTTGGCAGACGTATGCTTATGTATTTATAGGTTTTAATCTAAATCCTATATTAAATCCTAAACCATCAACAAGTCGGCTCTAACCCAACTACAATGTATAACATAAAACCCTAATAATGAAGCAACTAAATTACATTTAAATCACAAAGCCACATAAATAATTAAAACGCTAGAATATAATTAAGTTAAAAAAAAGCAAAATACAATTTAAATAACCAATTAAAATAATTCCATTAAAACCATAATAATAAAAGAAAATAAAACACCATTTAAATAAACCAATCCACAAGTAATTTAAACAACACAAGACAAACAAGCATGTAATCGATTAACAATCAAATAATCAATTAAGTCCAACACACAAGCAACTAAACAATTTAAATAATAATAAAAAAATAATTAAAATAATAAATTAAATACCAGGACTATCCTTCTGAAATTAGGAGTATTACAGTGATGAACAATGTTTTCTCTCTCCCTCTCTGTAGAAAAATGAGGGCCCAAAATAAAGAGAGGTTGGTTAATTGAGGGTAATGTTGTCTTTTGGCTTTTCCGGCACCTTATTGTTAGTTCAAGGAGTTAAATATAACAATTTGTTAGTTCAAGGGGAATTTTTGTAGTTGAAGGGGGTTAGTTGCAACACCTCAATAATTCAGGAGAGTATTTTTTGTACTTTTCCCGTATTATATTAAATAACCCATCGAATTCATGTATCAGTTTAATTTTTTTGAGACCCAAAATTTTAAAAAATCTATGCTAATCTAAATTCGTGAACAGATTGGATCCGCACAAGAATACTTATTTATGAATCAAGCTATTCATCGGATAGATTAAAAAATCAACCCAAACAGAAGAATGTCAAGAGCCCAATCAAATCGAATCAAATTTACGAATAAAATAAACTCCCAACACAAGAGATATGCTGAGATTAGTTCAACTATTCAAAGTTACCTGTAAAGAGCGAAGAAAAAAATAATAATAATAAAAAATTTGTCAATTCTAGATTTTACCGAGCTAAATAGAAAATAAGACTTCAAACGAAGAAAACTTTCCGAATAAGAAAAGAAATTTTTTCCACAAACACACTCCCGAACGACATTGCACCGAGAAAAATCGAATCGTATCGGGGAAGATGAAGATCACTGTAATGACTGCGGACGAGCAGATCATCACGCTAGACGTTGATCGCCACGAATCTGTACCGCTCTTCCTCTCTCTCCAAACCCTAATTTCACTTTGTTCTGTCGATTTCAAGTGCCCTAAGCTCACCTATTCGCGCTACTTGTTTGATTCTTTCTTGTAATTTCCGTCAACACTAACTTTTTTATCGATCTCATTTACAGGTCGAAAACTTGAAAGCTCTGCTTGAGGTTGAGGTGAGATCGAGAATCTGAGATATCTTAATTTCCTTCTGTCTCTATATATGTGCATGCACGTGTGCATAGGTATACATAGATGTATCTGTATATATTACTAATGTATGGAGTTTTTATTTATTTAATTATAAACAGACACAAGTGACACTTCAGCAACAGCAGCTGCTATTTAATGGAAAAGAGATGAGGAATGCTGAGAAACTGAGTGCTCTCGGTGTTAACGATGGAGATTTAGTGATGATGGTTTCTCAAGGTTCTTCAAGGTATGATTTGCATTTCTATTGCTTTTAGTTTTCTCAAATGTTACAGGGTGATAAGTTAATAAGATTATATAGCTTTATGGGTTCAAAGGGCTATGTAATTGTTGGCATGCTGGTCATAAACTTCTTAGCATGGTTAATTCATCATAGTTTGCAGTTTTATGTTATTGTGTAAAAAATTGGAGTCTTGGACAGATATGAATTGATTTTATGATTTGGATAAGGTCGTGATGCTTTTGAAAATAAAAGGTGGAAACACTGCTTATAAATTTGAGGCTACAATCAAGAATAATCTTGTTCTTCTTTCATGAATCTGACACCCAAGAATAAACGTGCCTGAAAATTAGTTGATTGGCAGTGAAGTGCCTGATTTAGGTGAATTATTACTATTATTTAGTGAAGTCCTTAAGAAGAATGTACCAAAGTATAATATGCAAATAGCTGCAGGAACCAACTTATGGCAGCATACCTGGATTAACTATTATTAAGCTATTATAATTATGATAAATATTGTAATGAATTAAACTGATCATTCATGCTTTGCATCATCGGTATATAGTTTTTGATTGATGCCCTTTCTTCATCAAAATGTATGGAGACCGTGCATTTGAAGAATTATATGCTTTCTGTAGCTTCTTTGCAATTTCCTTCACTATTCCCTTGCAGTCTGTTATAATCATGCATCTTATTGGGTCTGCTGCTTCTCTTTTTCTTTTATATTTTTAAAAGATATTTCTTTAAATCAGGAGTGAACCTACTCCACGTCATTATGCTAAATGGTAATGATATATAATATTTCAGTGCATCTGCAAATGACTTGAGCTTCAATCCAGACGGGTCTGCAGTGAACCCTGCAGCCTTTCAGCAGCATATCCGCCGCGATTCTAATATGATGGCACAGCTGTTTCAGGTAGGATGAAATGTCTTCTTATTTTTTATTTTTTCCCTGAAGCATTTCTTTCCATCTCGATAATATTTGGTATTAATAAATTGAAATTGGTAGCTTCTAGCTGAAAAAACATCAAGAGTCAGAAAATTGTGTCAGTTAACAAAGTACAACGTGGGCATCTTTTGCTCTTCCTTGTTTAGATTTTTTCATTGTGGTTTAATTTTTAGTACTTTGACTTGTAAATCTTGTTAAATTTCCTATATATGCTACCAACGGAGCAAAGATTTGAGATCCTGTTGGTGGCTGAAGTTATGGAAACTGCGTTGAAACCTTAAACATCATGATTAGCTACCGGCTGGTCACAGCTGTTGACCCAAAAATGAGTGCAGAGTTTCTGACTTAACCCGCCAAAACACCACACACACCCACACCCATAAAAACAAGAAAAAAATAGAAAAAGAATTGTGCACTGTAATTTATAGTGTGGCATTTGTGCGCGCGCACACATATATATTTAAAATTGAATCTAGTTGCAATTATAGTCTGACATATGCTGAAATGGGGAGGGAGCTGGTACGGAAAAACCTTCTGTATAAGGTTCGAAATGTTGAATTGAGGTAGAGTAGACCGATGATCCTTTAGTCATTTGGCTGGCTATTGAAAGAAAAATCAAGAAGCAGGATGATCTGTAACTACCACACACGCAGGTAAGCGCCCGTGGAACGGAACTGTGCGTTGAAGCATTCGCATTTCGTTAGCCCCTTATCCAGATCTGGTTGTTTCATCCGTTCTTTCTTCTTCCTGGGCAGTTTCAAGCAAACGCCTAGTCTTCTTTTCTGGATGATAAGTAATCGCTGAGTTCCAGTAGCATGACGAAATGGGGTCGACTACTTTTCTATATAGGGGAGACAGACGTTTTTCGATTTGTTGATCCTCCTCTTAGCGAAAAAGGGGTTTAAGCGAAATTCCCGGGGTTGATGCAAAGAATGAGTGAAATGAATAAACTGCACCTCGTTCCTTGACTAGGAGAGAGAAGACTGTGTATCAACACCAACTCAGCAACCCTACTCCGTGAAGCTTACAGAGCTGCCCCCTTCCTGTTCCGACTTTAAGGTCCTCGAGCCAAACCTTCCCACAAACGAATATGAAGATGAAAAGTGTAGGGGGCCAAGGCCATATAGAAATATTAAACTAGCTGAACTTAATGAAGAAAGCAACTCTCATATTACTTAATAGAATATTTAAATAGAGTAGCTAGGAGACTTGTCACACCAACCCCAGCCCTAATACGCGAATCCCACCCCTTGTCTTCTTGTTTTCTATGCCCATTTGCGTGACCTTAAAGGAACGCTATAGCCCAGTCAACCAACAACAACAAGGCCCTGGTTAGTGGTTACATAAAAAGAAATGAAAAAGAAAGGGGGCTTACGCATGACGGTGTTGGGTCGGGAGTGTACAACAGTCATTAAAAAAAAATTATGTCATATTTTTATGTTACTGTTCCTTTTTAACCGCAAATATATGACAATTCCCAGTTTGCCATTACTCTTTATTTATTTATTTTTTTTTCTTTTTGTGAGAACAGAGGGTGTCCCACTGGGATACCCGCAATCATCTCAAACCATAGATATCGAGTAAACTCAAGGAGGAGGTTTGTGACGCCTCCATGAGTGAACACAATGTATACCTAGAGACATATCAACTTGGCTACCCCGTGGGGGTCATTTGCCTTACTTGACAAAACTAACGTTTTTCTTAAGATCCGTAAATACTAGGTCCATGCAATATTTCATTTCAAATGCATGAATGTACACTAGCATTCGGGATATAAAATCATACGAGCACACATCCAATTAGCATGTATGGTATGGATGAACTGATAAGTGGTAATGCAAACTTAAAGTTGTACTTGTACGTATCCTGAAGTTATCATTTGAAGGTTCAGTGGTAATGCTAACTCACAGCTGCAGTTGTACTTATATATATATACCTGAAGTTACTTATCAAAATATATATATATACATATATATACATATCCTGAAGTTGTCAACGGAATATGTGCTGTGCTTTATTAGGACGATGCAACACGAAGCTGTTGTTGGAAGGACCAATTTAAACCTGAAATACAATTAAAACCATACTTAGGATAACCATTTTTAGCCAAAGCAACCAAACCTAAAACTGTCATTGGATGGATCATGGATCGATGCAAGCTATAGCATTCACATTCAATCAATTGGGATCAGATTATCTCGTCATTCCACGTCACCATTGTGGCTCTGTGGACTTTTATTCCATGGGTTTCAATTTCAATCTATTTTTACAGGGAATAGTACCTCTAGGACACCTCTAATACTACGAGTACTCATATTCAACATAGTCCATCACGCAATACTAGAAACATGCAATTCCAATAGTTTCCTCACAACCATGCTCAACGTTATTACTGTATTCAGGCATGTAACATCCAATAAGCATGTTGTTAATAAATCAAATAAAGTCAGAAGTTAATTGATGCAGATAAATCCAGTATCAAAGTTATTGAGTGCAACAATGTCTCTTATTTCCAACGACTACCTTAATATTGGTGTTCAATATTCAATAGTCATCCTTAAATTACACCCGCTAAGTACATCCATTTTTATGCATGTTAAAATTTTACACCTAAAAAAAAAAAAAAAAAAATTACATATAAAACTTAAGTTATCCCAAAGCAATAAATATTGTTTTGAAAAAGGTGGGTGCAAATTTTATGTCGTCATCAATACATGAAATCAATTAGAGTCGCATATATCCAAAAACATATATACTGATTAGTCTGATATATACATGACAATAGAATATCAAATTGAAGCATTAAAATATAAGGGTCAGAAGAGACATGTAGTTTGGTAATTTTATATATGGAATTTTGCAATTGAACATTGTGGGCAATGAATTTTGATGCTTTAAAGGAAAATGATATACTTCTCTTCCTCTTTTGCCATCTCATGTCATTGGAAGCATATAGTTATCTGCAGTGATAATATTTTCTAATATTCCATTGATTTGTTGTTTGTTGGTACCATGACATGCTTTACTTAAATTACGGTTTCCATCACTGTACCATCTTGTTATTGATCTAAATATTGTTCTTACCCCTAGCTTGCAACTTCCTTTGACACTACAAATGTTATTTTGTACTTACAGACGGATCCTGAATTAGCACAACTTCTTCTTGGAAATGATCTCAACAGATTGCAGGACCTCTTAAGACAGCGTCATCGCCAAAGATCTGAATTAAGTCGTCAAAAAGACGAGGAGCTAGTAAGTAGTTTGTATTGTAGACTATTCTTCCCTAATAACTTGGAATTTATTGAATATTATACTACCATATATTTTTCTTTGATTAATTGATCTTTACTTCAACAGTCACAATTTTTACTTTCATAATTTCACAGCAGTGAAGATTTGGAACTTGTTTTTTGACGCTTATTTAAGGTGATGTGCTTGTAAGATGCTTTGAGACTTTGAATTTTATGCAGTGGGCTTATTAAGCTTTTCAAAGTTTCAAACCAAGGTTTAGACAGAGGTGTGCCTATGCATTGTTCTACACGTTTTATTCAGTATATGGACACCTCGTGGCAAAAGATGCTTTAAATTTTATTAAGTAATTTAGTGGCTGGATATGTTTCTTCTATGTTCAGCGAGATATATGTGTGTGTATATATGTCATACTTATGTTCAAATCACACTTGTTATATTATACTTTTAGGATGATCATGTATCTTTGTTGAACCATGTTCTTCCTGTTTTGGTATATATGTAAGCAATTATGGAATATGCTCTTAATTTGTCCAAGTTTTGGAAAATGTTATTCAAAAAATTAGATTTGCACTTTTGTCAATATTTTATGGTAATTCATTTATCTTAAACAATGATGAAAACCCTAATTGCCAATGTCTCTAGAGTTTACCTTGGTCACAAGTAGAAGAAAACTTACGGAAGCTTCACTTATAGCCTTTGCTTCTATGTATCCTGTATACATCTTTTACCACATATTATCAATAAATTAAATTCTAATTTATGCTGTGAAGTTCCTAAGATAGTACTGATTTAAGGTCGAATGAAATTGCTCTATCTAGTATCTACTTCTGTCTTGTTTATCCTTGAAAGTTTTCTTGATTTATAGATATGCTAGGATTCTTTAAATTGTCCAATATTGTTCTATAGAAAAGCTGATTTAACCAAGTTCTTGTCACTCTGTTACACAGGCACTACTTTATGCAGATCCATTTGATGTGGAAGCGCAAAAGAAAATTGAAGCTGCTATTCGCCAGGTCAGTAATCCTGGCAATTTTTGGAAGAGAACTATCTGGTAAAAATGCATGGATAGGCCTTTCCATTTATCGTGCATCTTCATTACATCTTCATAGTGGAAGGCAAACTAGAAATTGTTGGTACCAGTTGTGCTGGGTGTTGTGAAAGGTGGAAGCAGACCTAACAATTAGCATTATTTTTCTTTGGGACTCAAATTCGTATACTAATGCCTGGTATCTTTTGCTGTTTTACTTAGCAACGTTTTCATTATATAAGATATGAATGCCCAAATTTTCTTGTACAAAAAACCTTAAATGTGACAAATGATATTTGCAAGTGGCTTAATAGTTTTAGCTTTAGGCACAATGACTTCTGAATTAATGAGAGCTTATTCACCGTTACCAATCCCATAATTAGTTGGCACCTTGATTGTTTCTTTAATGGCGATGGCATGAATTTTGTGTGATACTTGGACCTTTCATTTTTGTTTTCCTTCACACATTAAAGTTCATACGTAGATTGTACTGTATGTTTTCTGTCATGCGCTTAATGCAAGGGCCCTTCCAACATTTGAGAGATTGTGACTTGCTGTTTGGTTCTATGGTTGTTAAAATCTTGATCCAATATCGTGTGATCTTACAATCATATAATCCAAAAGTACCATATTGATTTAGATTGCACAAAAAACTCTATTGTGGTAGAATCTTTATGGAACTTTGTGATCCCAAGTTGACTACCCATTCTATTAATCCTAATATACATTGCTGTGCTACTACTCCCTCCGTCCCAAAATAAGCGTCCTTTCCATTTTGGTATGTCTCAGGAATTGTCCCCTTTGAAAAGTCAATATACGAAATTAATTCTTTCCTAGATTATCTTCAAGTATTTCATAGCTTTTGGTCCGCTATCCTGATCATGGTTCCCCTACCCCCAGAGGGAAAGGTCCTTACCTTTTGGTCGGCGGGGAGAGATTCGAACCGCTGACAACGTGGTTCATAGCCACGTGCTCTAATCCTCTGAGCTTCAAGCCCCACCTTGTCCCCACTGTGTTCCTGGGAGTACCCTAAAAAAGGAACCTTTCCTCTTCCCAATCATTTCGGGTTAATAAGATGTGAAAGCGCAAAATTTCTTAAATTAACAATGTGCATCTTTAAGTTAGTGGAAGGCTAGTTTTGTAATTTTTAAAAGAGACATGCATACATTGCATGTTCCCTTAAAAAGAGTCTCCAAAAGGAACATTTATTCCGGGATGAAGAGATTACTTATTTTCTTCCTTTATGAGAAGTAAGGGCCCAAGAACCTAAAAATAATATAAAATGAAGATCAAAACTCGTTTAATTGTCCTAAGTAAGACCATTATGTTAATTATTATTTTTTTTTTTCCCATTTTAAATGGACATGACTCTTACTAGTCTGTTTCTAACTTGTCAACAGCTTCAAAAAATAATTTAGGCAATTTGATCCTCATTTTGACTAGAATGAGTCCGACTTTATTTCCTCTCTATATGGATGTATATTCTAACATTCGGTTGGTAATTTTTCCATGATATGTAACAGGAAAATGGGATAAAAGTCTTTTTAAAAACAGTGTTTCACTCTTTTGATTTTGATCTCTTCTCTCTCTCGTTTAGATTCAGCAAGTTTGCTTCAAAGCAATCAATCTCTCATCAACAAAATTCTTCATGCTCATTTTTGTTTCCCCCCCTATTTTGTAGGCTTTGCCTCAGAGCTTTTTGTGGCTGAGCCTCCATAGCACTTTAACTAGATTTCATTTAAAATGTATATGAATTGTTTCCTACAACATATAATCATTGATGAATAATAATTTGTGAACTTTTTTAAGTTATGTTTTATATCTAACACTGTAAGGTGTTATCATAGTGTTTTGTAAATTAAATTTTTAATGCTAACAAATTTTTTATACGTGTGAGAGTTGATGTGCTCCAAAATTATTAGGAGGATCTTTTGGAACTTTGGAATTTTATTTGCTACAAATATTTGACTTAATTTTTTAATATTTTCATGAGTTTTAAGATTGTTCATGGTGTGTTTTTAAGAATTCTTAAGATGTAAAAACATTATTAGGTATATTATTCTCATTCTTTTAGAATCTTATGGCTCTCACAGAGTCACGGTCCTATGATCTAATGTTGAAGGCCCCTATTAATCCAGCATAAGATTCCGATTTAAACAATTTTAAATGCTAATATGCAATGGAACAGATCTCATTATATCATGAGAATAAGCATGCTGTTCTTGTGTCTTTTGGGGCTAGAATTTTTTTAATAGCTACAGTAATTGGCTTCATCATGTTCAGTATGTATCCAGAATCAGGACACTGCTATAAAGTTGTAAGACAGTTCTTTGTCAATTGTTCTAATATTTCATGATTTGATTTCATTAATTCTGTAGTTACTTGATTTGTATCTCTATACTTGCAGTCTTGAACTACTATTACCACATAGAATTAGTTTTTCCTAATAAGATCTACTTTTCTCTTTGGGTCTTTGCATTATGGTTTGCAGAAAGGTATTGATGAGAACTGGGCAACTGCACTTGAACACAATCCTGAAGGTTTTGCAAGGGTGGTATGTCTAAATACCTACGTAAAAATTGTATTTATTATTATTTGTTTAGAAATGAATTTAAATTTCTTAAGTGACTTTTCAGGTCATGTTGTATGTCGACATGGAAGTCAATGGTGTGCCTTTAAAGGTAGTGACAAGGAAATATAGCGAAGAAAACTCCCTTCTTCATTTTAATATTATTTCTCCTATTTTTAACGTCTTATGTGATATCAAAAGTTTTGAGTATTCAATCAGTGACAATTGTATGAGTCTTTTTGCAGGCAATTGACAGTACAAAAAGTTTGTGTTACTTTGATTAGTGCAATTTTTCATGTGGTATCCTGTTTTTCTCCTTTTGCTTTAAATTAGAATGGGAATTTTGCTTTGCTTTATTTCAGGCATTTGTTGATAGTGGAGCTCAGTCAACAATAATATCTAAAAGCTGTGCTGAGCGTTGTGGGTATGGGCTATTGCAATTCTGAACTTATTTATCTTGCTCGCTAGGAGCAGTAATCGTTTCACTCCTTTAGTAAAAAAGAGTTATGCAACATAAATTGGTTATATACTTCATATTACAAAAGCACTAGTGTTGACATTTGCTATACATATGCATGGAGCCCTATGCACGTGTACAAGTATTTGCATTTGTATTTGATCTATATTAGTGTAATACAAGTCCATAGTAGCTGTCTAGAAAAAAATCTTGATGCTTGTGACCCTGGCATCTGTTTCGTGTGTGGTCAGTTTAATTTCTGATGCCTTGGGTTTGGCAGGAATCATAAAGCAACTGAAGATTAAAAATAATAGAATTTTGGAGTGTTTAGGAACTATTGACATTATCCTCTTTTGGTACATAAATTAAGTTTGTTAAATATCAGAAAAGTGCAAAGATGTGATTCAAATTTGCTCGTGAATCAGTTAAATTAGGCGATCATTGCTTATGAGATATTCTTCACTTATTTTCTGGAAAAAGATTTATTTTCTCACTTATTTTACTGAGAGTCACGTGCAAGTTTTGCAATTGCTATGACATTGTGCAAGTGATTCAGTTTAAATGATGGTTGACATCCCTACTATTGTAATTTTCATACCAACTTCAGTGTAACATAAAATTGAAGAGGAATTATTGATTGAAGTTTAATGGATATGCCTAGCACTTGGAAGATATATATTACTAATTTTTTAATCTCACTGTCTATTTCGTAGTTAAGTTTGTTGAACTCACTAATCCTTATATCACAACTCAAGTTTGGGCACTTTGGCAAGTAACTGTACTTGAATTGTAAACATATAAGCAATGTTTTTGGAAGGAGGATTTGGAAAGGCAGAATCGGGCTGCCAAAGGGTAAAAATAGCTCTATGGAAACAAAACTTGGTTTATTGACCAATTTAATGCAATGCAACTTGACAAACCTCAACACAACAAAGCCTTTATCCAACTACTTGGGATCGGTTTTATAGTGATATATTTTAATTAATCGTCACCCTTAATGTCATCTTCATTGTCATCATTGAAGCATTTTCTTCGTCATAGACTAGAAATTTTCTGTTCAAATGGAAGATTTATTGTTGCTGACATGTTCTCTTTCAGATTGTTGAGGCTTTTGGATCAACGTTATAAGGGCATTGCTCATGGAGTCGGGCAAACAGAGATACTGGGTAGAATACATGTTGCTCCCATCAAGGTAATACATACACTGGCCTTCAAATTAAAAATGGAATCTGTCTTTTGTTTCATTGCGTAAGCAGACCTCTACATATCTTTTTATTCCTGTGCATGCTTGTGTCATTTGCATTTGTATGCGACTGATGCATTCATAGATGAGATACATGTACACAGTATTTTGACATGTACCCACGTGCATTCTGTTTATTTTTTTCCCCGTTTTTCATTTATGTTATTTTGACATGTGTTCAATATGATAGATCACCTCCAACACTGATTGACTAGCTTTCTTCATTGTGCTCATTTCATTTAGGGAATTCTATGAGGACTTGGTTGAGTGTTGATATCTGTGTTATCAGATTTTCAAATATATTTTTTCAATTCGTGGTAGTTGACATACACCTATTCTCTTCGTTTTTATCATCCCATTCTGGCTAGCATTTTTAGTACTATCTTGGAAGATGTTTAAAATTGAAATATATGTGAGATGCTTGTCATTTCAGGTATAGATTTATTCAATAATGTGACACATTCTATGTTTATGAAAACTGCCTTCATGAGTTTGTTTGACATTTTGTTTTTTAAACAACAATGTAGATTGGGAATATATTTTACCCCTGTTCCTTCTTGGTACTGGATTCTCCCAATATGGAATTCCTTTTTGGGCTGGATATGCTCCGTAAGCACCAGGTAACATCCTTTTCTTTCAAGTGTCTTTAACTAATGGGTTCTACATGAATTTGGTAAATATTTCTAACATGGCCACTGTTGCAGTGCATAATTGATTTGAAGGAGAATGTCTTGAGAGTTGGTGGTGGGGAGGTTTCTGTACCATTTTTGCAAGGTTTATCTTATGTCTTCTATACTTGCTTTATTGTTTTCACTCCATTATTTTGTTTGTTACTTGGTAATATTTAGGATTTCTTTTATTATTAACCTTGCTTTAGAAACTAATTGGTTGAAGTTTCATTTTTTTCAGAAAAAGACATTCCATCTCGTTTCCTGGATGAAGATAGGTACTCCAAGCAGGCTTCTAGCTCAGGAGACGCTGTAAGGATATTCTTGATTATGTGTTTTTACCAAACAATATATTCTATGATATTTGCCTCACCTGTTGATTTAGTAAATGTGGTATTCACACATTCTGTTTTCTTTCGATTGTTTTCTTTAAAGTGCATACACAATTTTATATGTGATATTTGATTTGATATATTACTTAGTGGAGCTAATCCTATGAAAAGAATTACAGAATTATGCAGCTATCCAAATCATTATTACATGCGGTGTTTATTTTAGTTTCAAGACTTGGATATAGTAAATGGGAATGAAACTTTATAAGAAGCATGAGAGTGCTCAAAACCTCTAGCAGAGTGAAAAGGCTTTCTGAAATTCATTTTCGCAGAAGATGTCCTATTTTTATTTGACACTTAGAATGCTGATATTGGTTGGTTTGCAATCATCTATAATGATACATCAAGCTATGTTTCCTATGCCACAAGAAGGAAATAAAAATAAAAAAAATAAAAGAGAGAAATGAGAAAAGAACAGAAAAACATGAAGCAACTGTCCAGCGAGGCCCCACATTGTTGTTCTAAAATTATTATTATAATATATATATATATATATATATATATATATATATATATATCAAATGGTCATTCAAGATCAAGATATGAAGGAGAGAGAGAGGATCAAAATATGAGAGAGAGAGAGAGAGAGAGAGAGATGTATGAGGTAGGAAGTGTTGGTGCAATGAAATGGTGGATGTGATGAATGTATAGATATATAGGGATTTTATAATGATTTTGGGGGGAGTGGCTAAGAGGAAGAGCAGTAACGCATGCATTATGAAATGGCTATGGATGGTAACAAGTGGTCCACCAATTAAAGCCGTGTTTGTTAATTTTTGGCAGTTTAGAGAATCTGCTAAACTTGGGAAAAGACTTGGTAGGTTGTCATAATATTTAATGAGCTTTACCAGACAAATAACCTTGGACAGAGCCAAGTGATAGGAACCTTGTTCAGCACTGATAGATGCCATGTCTACCCAAACTAGTGCGATGGTGGAGTCGTGTGATTGTGAACCTTGGTACCCCCACTGTTTGGAATGAAGGAATATTATAGCTAGAAGCTAGGGGTAAAGGAAATTAAAGGATGGAAGTCATTTCCTTCGTTTGGTAGACATAAAATAAACAAAAGAAAGGAATGTCTTGTGATCTCCCACTATTCTTTTTATTTTTTTATTTTTTGGGTAATTACGTCGTGGAGAGGTTCAAAATATAGTATCCAAGGTGCATTATGCAAAGTCTTTACGAAAGAGATCCTGAATGCATAAATTTGAAAGAAGACATAGTAAAAAAAAAAAAAACAAAAAAAACTCAAAACACCCATTTTTACCTTTGGAAATTCGAATCCCCAACCTTGTACAGTTGTACTTTTAAAAAACTAAAGAAATATTATTAAGTTACAATTCATTTCGGGAGAGATATGGAAGTCATTTATTTCCTTTGGTTGGTAGGAGAAAGAAAAAAGAAAAAAACAGAGGATGTCTTTCTTCCCACTATAATTTTTGTCTTTTTTTGGGTATGTACCCTATGAAAAGGTTCAAAATTTTAAATTTAACCCATACAGGGAAGAAAAATTTGTTTGTGCGGTGTGTATGGTGCACCACTTTGCACCGCCTTTCACCATTATCATTTACAATGGTGATTTCATTTCTACATAATTTCATATTTGTAAGCAAACAATAGAATGATAATGATTATTCTCTTCCACTCCCCTCCTATTTCATTTCCCATGTCATTTTATTCTTGTATACCAAACTAGGCCTAAGAAAGGGGGGAGGGAGATTGCTTTCTATTTAGGTATTCGGTGCGCCCGATACACCGTGCACCGGACTAATTTTAGCCGTGCATGCATAACACATGCCGTTACATTAACAATTTTGGTGGCTCCCACTTTGAATGTACACTTGTAACTATTTACCCAGGAAAAAAAGAAAAGTAGTTTTATAACAGCCTTCAGCCATGTTAACCACCCGACATCTCTCTTTTAGCTGTTTCCAGTTGCAAGTGTTCTGACAAGTAGCATGAGCAAACTTTCTATTCTGGTTCAGAAACTTCAAAATTGTGGATAGCTTTCTTATGGAGTTCTTTTCTTTTCCTTCGGTCCCATGACATGGGCTACACAAAGGGTGGTGGCCTTGTCCTACTTAAACCCCACTCCCACAGTGACAATCTTTGAGATGAGCCCTGCATCTCCTAGGGACTAGGGAATGAGGAGATACAACTTTAGCTGCAGCTGGTGTTCTATTAGAGTATTGGACTAATGGCTTATTTGGGCTCTGTGCTGGCTGCCTGGCTGGCTGTATTTAGAATATCTACTTTGATATTGTAATTACTGTAGACAAAATTGGTTAACACACACACACACACACACCTGGGTTAATCGACTTATTGAACTTTAAAAGGTTTTGTGATGTATGCAACATATTCTAGTCGTGTGTTATGCAATTGTTGCTGCATCTCTGTTTTGTGATTGCAATTCTTTTAGCATGAGTATATTTTTGTGTCACAAGTAATTTTAGATTTGTTTTATTTATTTATTATTATTTAGGCCACATCTGGAGCAAAAGAGAGCAGTAACCCTCCTGGCAGTCACTCTTCTGGTAGGTTCTAGAATCCAAATGCAGCTTTTATAGCCCGCAAGCTTTGCACTATTATTCATTTGTTTCATATCCGCCAAATGAGAATTTCCTTAATTATTTCATTGAAGCATGAAATTTGCTATATCAAGGTAAATATTGGTGGGTTTGATCCGTGAGCTTTTCTTCAACTAAGGACGATGTTATGTGAACCCCATTGTTTACTGATAAATCACCTCAATGAGGCTGATCGCCAGGAATACAAAATGTTTGCTGTCATTAAATCAATATTTCATCCTTTTCCATGTCATTCAAAATTTCTTACATTGATGTCTGAAAATGAAACTAACTTATGCCACATATCCCCCCTGCCTTGCAGGAAGTGCACCTGGCAACTTAACACAGGTGATTTTCTTTTAATCATTTCAACTTGCAGAAATTCGTTGTAATTGTTTATTCCATCTTGTTTGTTAATTGACAAGATATCATTTTGTTCAATTGCCATTTCTTGAACTCTACATTTTTTGGTTACTCATTTATCTATTCAAATTGGATCTTTAACTTACTGCCACCAAAACATAAAGGCAGAAGTCAGTGTCTATTTGACTTGAAGGAAAATTGTTCATCTCCAGGGATCTGATTTTGAAGCCAAAGTTGGAAAGCTTGTTGAGCTAGGTTTTGGAAGAGATGCGGCAATACAAGCTTTAAAATTTTTTGATGGTAATGAAGAGCAGGCTGCTGCTTATCTTTTTGGGGGCTGAAGAAAAATTCAATCTTAAAGTTTCCATAGATTCCTGAATTAGTGTTGATTTCCACAACATTGATTGCTGAATTGTATCATAACATTGATTTTTGCTCATTCATTGATTAACAAAATTCAATGAAAACATGAGCAGTTGATTTTGTAGAACACCTAATTATGCAGTGGTGTTACAGCAGGGACAATAATTGAAAAAATTTATGCCTGTGAAAATTGTATCCATGTTTGGTTTTGGTTTTTGCATATACAGGTTGAACACCTAATTATGCAGTGGTGTTACAACAGGGACAATAATTCAAAAAATTTATGCCTGTGAAAATTGTATCCATGCTTGGTTTTGGTTTTTGCATATACAGGTTTGTTGGATGATCTGTCCAAGGCTGAGGCAGCAGTCTTATGGATGTTATAAAGCTATTTAACAATAGGGGTGCCCTTTCTATATATAAAAGATTATTATATTTTATTAAAGGGTCAAATGCAGAAAACACTTCTAAAGTATACTTCCAATATATATCACACCTCACACCCCTTACCCCTTTCGCCAAAAAAAAAGACACTTTAAAGTTTTAATTTATATAAAAATAAATAATTTTGTAAAAATGATTGAAAATGACATTATTGGAGGATGTTTTTCTAGTGCAAAAAACATAAAGTTTAAATTTGGTGGAAATGGATTTCTTTGACAAGTTTAAATCTTAAGTTAACTAAATTATCTTTATTGAACCATTGTATAAAATATATAAAAATAAATAATTTTGTAAAATGATTGAAAATGACACTATTAGAGTACGCCGACAATGGACAAGTAAAGATAAAAATATAAAGGTAAAGTAAAGATAAAAATAGAAAATAAGAAACGAAAATAAAGTGCAAACTAAAAAAAATAAATCTGTTGGTACGAAGAAAAAAAAAAATAGTAGAAAATAGTAAACTGAAATCTCAACAAATTCAAATCCTTGTTCTTCAAATTCTCAAAGTTTTTTTTTTAAAAGTATAGAGATATACATAGAGAAAAAAAGTTTCAAAAAAAAAAAAAAAAAAAAGGTAACGTGTACATCACCCCTCACCCCAATACTTTAAGATTAGTAAGATATATACCCTGCCATTTTTGGAAGAGTAAAAAGGAAAAACGAGTATTACATTACTAATTTATGTCAAAAAGGGTATTTTTGCACAATGTAAAAAGATTAGGGATATTTTTTGTACACTTTTTAAAATAGAGATAAAAGTGTTACGCAGAGTATACCTAGGGGCGTCACATATTGAGATATTACAAATGACACTTTCTTCGCCATTTCCAAGCTTCTGAAAAAGGAAAAAGAAGCTTAAAATGCAAAATAAACGCGGGAAACATTTAGTGCATCTTCTATATCATGGCTTTACTAAAACAAATGCAAGATTTCACACACGCAAAATACCACCCAAGCATACATAAAAACAAAAATAAATATACGGATAAACATGTTCCATGGTGTTACCCAGCAAAAATCCTTTCATGATATCATCCTAGCAGCTGACTCAGTTTACCCAACAAAAATCCATACATATATCAAATGACACAAAATAATGCTCAAATACTTTAAACTTCGAACATAGAATATGGAGGATCAAAACCTTTCTGCCAATCTGGCAGTGACAGCTCTAAGTTTTGAATATACCTTTCCAGCAGGGGAACCTAAGATAAGACTACATAGAGAATCCCTTGCAATTTTAATGTTGGCAAAAGATCCTAATATGTGAATCTTGGTGTCCGCAATTACAATCCTTGTCTTTGTAGAGTTCTCAACAGCAAACTTTGTTTTACCTCCTTTACCAGACAGTCTTCCTATGGCACGAGATAGGTGCTCTCCTCGAAGGGTTTTCACATCCTTGATCTCAAAAGATTCTACGTAGAGCTCTTCCATACGCAGGAGGGCAATTGCATCTATCACATCAAATCCAAGCATGAATGCATGAACAAAATCGGCACATTTCTGGAGGTTGCTGATGTCAGGTGTGTCTGATCTGGTCTTCAGTTCAACCTTGCGAGCCTTGAGATTCATGCGGATGTCAATCTTCATCTGCTCGTATATTGGAGTATAAATTTCCATCCATGTTTTTTTGAGAGGTGTATACCGATGTGGTGGAACAGAAACCTTCCGAAACTGCACCTGACCTTCAGTCATCTCATGAGCCTTCAAAGGCTGAAAGTTTGGCTTGGGAAAAAATCCGTATGCAGGTTTTGCAGCTTCCGGTTCAGCTGGAACCCTTTCAACTTCCATGGAACTGGTGGTGTCTTCGTTAGATTGCATGGGAATGGTACCTTCGCTGGATTGCATGGTGCACTCAGTTGGGAACCACCCTAGAAATGAAAACAACAAATTTGAAATATGAAGATCTAAGTTTAGTCAGACCCAAACCTAGAAATGAAAACAACAAATTTGATATATGAAGATCTAAGTTTAGTCAGACCCAAGTCCGAGGATGTCAATGACTCTTTAACCAAGTACCCATAAGAAATTCAATGTACTATATAGAGTTTAGAGAAAAACAGTTGATAGTAGAGAAACACAAAAATTATATCTATGACACTACATATTAAAAGATCCACTAACAGAGTATATGAGCTATATGGCCCTACTTGCCTGTCCTAGTAAAAACCCTGCAACCATAAATCACACACTCCCCGATCCAGAACACATCATTTTAAGGTATTCAATGAGTTCCCTTAGTAGAATGGCAAGGGAACTCTCGAGGACCGGGCATACCTAAATATATGCCCAAATGATCAACCGCATAAAATTATCTGAAAGCTCATATAAAAAGTGTTAGGGTGCATGTTCAAGTCTGTGCAAAATAATGCCAAAGGCTAGGCGAGCTCCCAGTCTTTCCCTCCCACATCCTGCATAGGCAGGAGAGGCAGGACTCGACCTACATTGGGTAACATTCTACTACACAAACAAAGTAATTCATTTAACAAGAAATTTAATTGATAGAATAAGAAAATTATGATTACTTTGTGGAGAGCGTTATATGCGACAAAATGATTCTTTATTTTATTTTATCAAATGATATAAAATGAATTAAGGCAAAATGCAATCCCAAGCAATAAGGTGATTTTGATAAAAGGGAAAATTAGGTACCAAAAATTTTAACAACTACCTCTAAAACAACAAAAAAAGCCGTTAATTGATTCATATCATAAAAAGCATTGTGAAACAATTACAATATAATCCACGCATAATCAAGGAATAACATTAAAAAAGCAACACAATCTAGCATAAAAGGAAGAAAAAAAAAAAAAAAAAACAAAACAAAAAAAGGATTACAAAACTCATACTGCTGATGGGATTTTTTTATTTTATTTTTATTTTTATAATTTTTTTTCAAGGAGAGGTCAGGTTCGAGGCTTCGGTGGAAGCATGTGTGTGAGTACCCAACTAGGGAAAAAAAAAAAAAAAAATAATAATAATAGATGGCAACCTGCAAATTTAATGTAAGCAGACAGAATTTAAAAAATACACGACTTTCTCTGTCATCTAGAATCTAGATTTAGGATGGCAGGACTTCTCTTCCCCTTTGCAGTCTTAAAGCAGACGTGTGTGCATATATATATATAAAAAGGTTCCAAAAGAAAAACAAAACGAAAAAAATTGATTGGAAGAAAACTCACCTCCGATCGTCGATGTTAAACGCCGAGAGGAAGAGAGTGAATTTTGGTTGACAGTAGCGCTATATTCTCTCTCCTCTCTCGTTCTTCTCCCCTTGGAGGCTTTGACCTAAAAGCTCTCAGCCCTAACTAAACTAACGAAGTAGCGAGACACAAGAACGGGGTTGGGCCTTATCTAATCTGACTGGGCCACTTTAGTCCCAAATCTAAAGTATGAAAAAGCCTTTGGACTATACTAAAGCCGGCTAACTTGGGCTGGCTATTACATAATTCTAGAAACTTCTGGTACGCATTGACGGACGGCCAGGATCAAATGCTTATATATCCTACGGCTGATGGATAAAAGAGCTGGCGTTTAAAATTCTTCAATCTTCTTATGAAAGAGCCAACCTTCGGTTTAGATATTGGGTTGTCTGGGAGGAAAATGGAGAGGGGGGTTAGAGAGTTTCGGAATTGTATGGAATGAGTTGACGGAAAGGTTTACAAATATTGACATGGGTTTGGTTTACCTTTCCGGTTCTACTCATTCCAAATATTTTCGATCACTCCTCCCTTTCCCTTCTTCTTCCCCTCTTCGGATCACGTATAAGAATAAGATTGATTCCATGGTTTGAACTTGATATTTTGTTCTATGGTTTGAACTTGATATTCTGTTGTATTTTGTAGGTTCGAGTTATATACCTGTTTGCTCCATTCTGTCTATGAATTTCTTCAGATTTGCTCCCTTGTGTATGATGCTCTACTTTGTATTGTATTCGCCTAAAATTTCTAGGAATGTAGCCCTTTTATTCTCTTGATGAAGTGGATAGAAAAAAATTAGGGCTATAATAATCCGAGGTTTTCCTTAAATTGCTTTAGATTGTTGGTTTAGCCGTATTGATTTGTTTTTAGTTCTGCCTGAATTCTTATTTATTTATTTTGTTTATTTATTTTTTAATATCTGTTCATGTAATTATATATATATATATATGTAAGTACTTGTCATGATATCCATAAGCTAAAAGGTTTTGTTTTAGCTAATTTTCATTGGCATGTAAAGCCAAGCTTATGAGTTTTTGTTTTTTTTAAAATTGTTTGGTAATTTTTCCAACCATACATATTTTCAAACTCAAAAACAGTGAGAACTGTTCTATTTTAGAATACTCTAAAAATTATTCTTGAAAACAATTTTAAGGGTTGCAAACAACCAATTAACCACTGAAATAACTTTTGGGACATACAGAAATTGATTTTGTCCAAATCAACATCAGAAGGTCAACACCTACGCTAAAGTAGGGAACAAGTTCTCTCTTATACTATATATATATATATATAGTATATATATGTATATAAATTTCTTTCTTTCTTTTCCTGAAAAAAAATATCATTCCCAAAATAAGCAGATCTTTGAATATCAAAATAGGCATGATAAATGAATTGATGTGTTGTCCTGTCACCAGCTCAGAATATGACTGCAAAATAATTATGCACATTTTGATTTTGAAATCAAACTAGGGATTCTGTACTTGTTGAGGATATATGGAATAAAAAAAATATCCTATTATATTTCGATTTTATTTTCAAACTCTCTAGTGCTTTTCTTCAATTGTTGGAAGGATTCAAATGCGGTTGTTGATAAGTCAAAGGCCCTTTGGGACATTTTAAGGTGGTCAGGTCTGGAGGGAATGCATATGCACACTGCAATGTCCTGCATTTGAGCTGCATTAACAAAACCTCAGTTACCATTTTATCTTTTAGGGTAAATTGCACTGATACCTTGAGGTTTTGGTCCAGTCAACAAAGTTTTTTCAAAAGTCATATTTAATTCGCAAAATATCAAGTTTGTTAATTCATAAAACTAACCGTTATCGTTAAGCCACGGATAACCCACACCACCAGAGCAAAAAGCCATGGCTAACCCAAATATATCACACCCCACCGCAACCACCATGGAGCAAGAGGTCCAGAGCGGCTTCGGCTACAAAAAGCTGGACTTCCTCTCTAGAATTTAATACTCCGATCGCCGGGAAACCAAAGACGAATACTAACAGTAACAGTGTAGAGAAGAGAGAGCTCGTTGAGATCGTCGGTGTTTACAAGGGACAGCATCATAGTCGATAGCGCGTAGACGCATGCGCTGCCAATAGAACTCTACAATGGCGAACCGGACCACGACCTCGGAACAACATATTCGGCTCCTCTCAGTTAAAAGCCCTCTCTGGGCATCTGTGAGTATTAGATCCAACGGTAGGAAGAGCTGCCACATCATCATCCTGAAGCAATACCCAAAACGCATTCATCTTCAAACGTTATTCACGATTTCTCCTTAATTTCCCTCATCTTTTTTTACTTTCAAATTTTCCCTCCTTACAAATATTCTCAAATTGTTCCCTTCATTTGATTTTCCTCCCCAACTCACAATTTCTGTCGGTCCGAAGATCTTAATATTTGTCTCCAAAACCCTCCTCAAGCTTTTAGAGAATTTCATACCTATCATAGATCCAGAACCTCTTTGCCCTTTCTCTGTGTAGTGGATCAATTGCTTGACCTTTGTTGAGAGCGAATTAGCCTAGAAGTTCCACTAAAGAATCGTTATTTTGACGGTATGTTTATTTTTCTCTTTCAAAACCCTTTACTCTTAAATGGGACAATGAATTCAGATTTATTTCCAAATTTTAGATGATGTTCTGTTTTTTTTTTTTTTTTTTTTTTCCCTCGGTTGGAGTGAAATAATGGAGGTTGTGTTTCATTATTTTACATCTAAAATATTTTATGTTGAATTACACAAATTTAATTTTTAGGGTTTTATGTGAAATTACACTAATTTAATCTAAAATATTTTATGTGTTTCAGCCCTTTTTATTTTATTTTTATGATTCATAGATTAAATTTTACATCGCTCCTAATGTTTCTGAGATAAATTATTTTAACAATTTCTTGTTACATTATGCTATCTGTAAATAAATTATATAACTATGTTTTGTATCATAATTTGAAGTAACTGAATAAAGAGGAGAATCTTAAAAGAACAAAAAAAACGGAAGAAAAAAAACAGAAGAGGTCTTAAGGCTTAAACTTTTTCCATTCACCTTTAAAGACAAAAAAAAAATTTTAATTGAGATTTTAAGTAGTGGGAGAGACTGCCTTCTTACTAACCTTTCTGATTGTCTAATATCAAGCATGTTAATTTAATAAAAGTCTAATATTATACTTGCACGAGAGAAAAAAAAAAAATTATACACATTTAGAATTATTCCAAATTTTTTTTATACAGTTTAGTTGCTGATTTGATACTTCCACAATGGATAAGAGTGAAGCTGATTGGAAACCTAAGTATGGAATGGAGTTTGATTATGAAGAAAAGACTTTTGAATTTTATAACGAGTATGGCATAGAGTTGGATTCAGCGTGAGAAAAGATCATGCCAACAAAATTCTGTCATAGGAGAAGTTATGTTACGATTGTATGTTTGTTGTAAGGAAGGTTTTCGAAGGAAAGACAAACGAGACTATTTGACAAAGAATCCTAGAGTTGAGGCTAGGATGGGTAATGGTGCTTTGATGAACATTAAACTAAACAGAAGTAATGGAAAATTTTGGGTTAATAAATTTGTGGAACAACATAATCATTCATTGGTTATGGAAGCTTGTGTTCATATGATGCCATTACAACGCAAACTTTCTACAACTCAAGCAATTAAAGTGGACTTGGCAGATGAGTCTGGTATTCCTTTGTGATCTGCATATGAGTAATTGGGAAGGCATGTTGGCGGAAGGGAATATCTTGGGTACACTAAACGAGATCAAAAGAATTATATACGATCTAAACGACAACGAGATTTGGCATATGGAGAGGCAGGAAGCCTGTTAAAGTACTTCCAGAAACAATGTTTAGAAAATCCCTCATTCTTTTATGCGGTGCAATTAGATAAAGATGAGCAAATAACGAATAAATGTTGGGCGGATGCGAGAATGATTATTGATTATGGTCAATTTGGAGATGTCGTGAGTTTTGATACAACATATAAACTAAATCAAGCCAACCGACCATTTGCACCATTTGCCAGGTTTAATCATCATCGTGAAACTGTTATTTTCGGAGCAGCACTAATGTATGATGAAACCATTGACTCGTTTATTTGGTTGTTCGAAACATTCTTGGAGGCAATGTCTAACAAGAAGTCGAAAACTATTTTTACAGATCAAGATGTAGCAATGGCAAAGGCTTTAACACTTGTGATGCCAGAAACATGCCATCAACTTTGTACATGACTTATCGTGCAAAATGCTGTGAAGCATTTAAGTAGCCTTTTTAGAACTTCAAATGGAATTAAAGCTGTGTTGACAAAGTTAATGGATGACTACGAGGAAGAAAATGAGTTTACTAATGCATGGGACAACATTCGATCTAAGTATAATGTCCGTGAGAATACTTGGTTGCATAAATTGTTTGAATTAAGAACCAAATGGGCAAAGGCATACTTGAAAGGGGAATGGTTTGTGGTATGAGGAGCACACAACAAAGTGAAAGCCTAAATGCTAGTCTAAAGGACTACTTAAAATCTGACCATGATTTGCCATAATTTTTTAAGCATTTTGAGAGAATGCTTCATAACAAGCGCTATAAAGAGTTAGAAGCTGAGTATGGGTTATGTTACAAGTTGCCTAAAATAAAGATGCACTTGAAGATGCTAGTGCATGCTGGTATTATATACACTAATGCCATATTTGAGGAGTTTCAGAGGCAATATGAATTTTCAATGGAGGCTGATATAAAGGGTTGCAAGGAGGATGGTGAAATTTATATATATACAGTTGATGATAACCAAGCTAGAGAGCGTCAAGTCAAAAGGTTCCCTAATGATTTTCTATCATGCAATTGTGGACAATTTGAGATGATGGGTGTGTTGTGAAGTCACATAATAAAGATTCTTAGGGAAATCGTGCATATTAAAGAAATACCGAGTGCATATATTTTGAAACGGTAGACAAGAGATGCAAAAGTGGGATTGGTCCAAGACAATTGTGGACGTGACGTACAAGTGGATATTAATTTAGAAATGGCATTTAGATATAGGAACTTATGCTATATGTTTACTAAGATATCATTTTTGGCAGTTGAAACTGATGAATCATACAAAGTGGCTCTCCAACATGCACACAATTTATGCAAGGTAGTTCATGACATTTAGAAGCTAAATTTCAGTGGTAAACAAAAAGAAAATATTGATCCAAACTCCTCTTTCATTATTTGCGGTGCAAATGAAGATGGGCATCTCTTAAATGTGTCAAACGGTATACATGCGAAGGGTTTGAAGAGAAGGGAGGCCTCTAGGGGATGGCGAAGGTTCCAATCACCAATTGAAAAGGCTCTACGAAAAAAAAGGAATTCTCTCACTCGACCATCTCAGGTACTTTTATCTATTTTCATGTGATATACTTCTTATTAATCCATTATAAAATGTAAATCGCATGTAAATGTATTGCTTAATCTTTTTAGGGTGCTGAGATACCTACTAAATCAACATTTTTGAATGAAAATACCAGCAACTCATCAGTTATGTGCCATACGTTTAATGTAAGTGCATTTTCAGTTTTGTCATGAGAAATTTTTGTTGTTATATACTAACTTACGTACTTAATTTTTTAGGGTTAGGAGTTACCTAATGCTTATGCATCGATGAGTGTTGAATATTCACAACCACAAATATTAAATCAATACTCCCAAGCTTCAAATAGTCCACTGTGTCCTCAGGTAACAGTGAATAATTGTTATATTAAAGGAAATACTCATGAATGATTTAATGAGAAAATTTGGAATATTGTATAGATGAATCATACAGGACCTACTGGAGTTATAATTAACAACGGTTTTACTAGAGCAACATCATATGGTGATGGTGGGGTGAGTCTTAGTATTTCAATTTTTTATTTTTATTCTTATTTTTTTGCATTTTAGGTGTAAATATACAAATGTGCTTCGGCTGGTAAAGTAACAAACTAACCATGTTTTTTCCTTGCTTGAGTAGACCATCAACTAAAATGTGAATTGTGATGGCAGTTACATTCATGTTGAAAGATAAGATAATCCAATATTGTAATTATGTAATGGTACTGCTATTTAGTTTTTCTTTTTCTGATTTTTTGTTCTTCTCGTGTGTTTTTGTAGTGAAGCTGCTCCTCTTTTGCTTTTGGAAATTGTTGATGCTCTAAAGTGTTTGAAGTTGCTGATTTGTTATCTAGATCTTGGTTGCTGTAGTAGCTGTGTTTCGTTGATGCAACAAAAGTCTTTAAAGTTGCTGCTCTTAGCTTTTGGCTGTTGGTCTGGACAATTTTTTTTCCATTGTTTGAATTACAATCTTGCAATGTCATAGAAGATTTTAATGTTTTCAATGTACTAGAGACAACCATGTAGTTACATAAATTTTTTTAAATCACTTTGTTTCGTTGTTTATGAATTTGACAGCTTCTAAATGTGTATTAGATATTATGAAGTGTGGTTTTCAATTCGCTGTTGTGTCTGTCAATTTTGTAGAGTTGAATGCGATATCAGATGCCAAGTCTCCTTTCCTACTCTGTAAATGCCAATCATTCCACTTTACAACCCCAACTCCAAGGGATCCCAGAACCAAATTCTAAGCATTGAAAAAGGGTTTTTTTGTAGGCTATATAGCAATCAGAACACTCAACCATTTACATTAAAAAATTACATGAATCTCATACCAAAAATATGAGCAAAAAGCTTTTAAAAGCATCACTAACATTCAAAAATTATTAATTACATGCCAAAATACACTGTAATTTAGCACCAATCTTCCTCCAACTACACATGGGCACAAACGGTAATCAAATGAATCAAATGGAGGGAATAATTTGAACTGTAAGATTCCTTGAACATCCTTGCTCAAACTCATCCCCAAGCCTTTGCCCGTGGAAGCAGAATTGATTGACACATATTTCCCTCGGAGAGGGAGGGAGAAAGAACAGGGGAAAAGAGCTGTCCCATGGGCGCGGACCCGCGGTGGTGGTTCTGGGCGGTGGATCTATGGGTGCCGAAGGAGGTTTAGATGGTAAAGAGTCTGAACGGTGGTGGGTGTGGTGGTGGTCACGGTGATAGTCGTAGTCGGATTTTCTTTTGGAGGAAGGGTGCGGGGCTCCAAGTCCCGGATGGGGCGTTCCGGCGATGGCTTCTCAGATCGATGGCGATAGTGGTGGTGGTCTGTTCCCTATGTTTGGTGGATGGGCTTTTGCTGCAACAAGAAGGAAACAAGGATTCGGCTCCTCCGTTTGAAGATGACGTTATCGTTAATTAAATAAAACGATAGCATTTTGGGTATTGTTTTAGGATGATGATGTCGCAGCTCTTCCTACCGTTGATCTAATACTCACAGATGCTCAGAGGGGGCTTTTAACTGAGAGGAGCCGAATCCCGGAACAATGTTGTCATAAAGGACCCTGCTCTTGATCAAAAAGTCATCTCTGATATGACCGTCCGACTTCACCAAGACCAAATTGACGTTGACGTTAATGAGTTCTAGAGATAGTTGGAGGTGAATCAAAGAGGTCAGTGAGTTGGGTCTCGCCGAATCGCCCAGAGATAAATCCTTTGATCATAGGTGTGTTTGGATCAAGAGGGCAATAGTGAGACTCGAGATTAGACAGAGTTAGAGTTGGAGAGGTGAAGATCAAAGTGAGAGATTAGTGAGTTGAAACAAGTTATCTTCTAGGGTTTCAACGTCGAAGCCTCAGCAACGGATGAGAGGTGGTGGTGAGGATAGAGAGAGTGCAAAATTTTTGGAGAGAGAGAATAGGCTATATGGTCATTTTCTCGTGTGTCAGACTCTAGAAGGGGTGTGTATGTAAGCTTACTTTTCAAACCTGAGGAGGTGTGTATGTAAAGAAGTGCGTTGGTTCGAAATCTGACCGCTAAGTGACGTTGACCAAAATCTGTTATTGCAATTTACCCTATCTTTATAAAGGAGGACAAAATTTATATTAAAAATAGTTTCCTTAAACATCCCCGAGAATAAATGGTAGCAGCACCAACTTTAACCAACACTTTGTGTAAAATTCATATGAAGTTATAGCTTTAATCCTCTAACACACATGATGACATGGTAATGTTAAAATCACAAGTTTTCATCTCGAAGTCCAAAAATCATTTTTTTTGTTAAAAATAAAAAGGTTCACAGGCAATACCGAAAAGAGATTTATGGTTAGTATGAGAGCAGATGTATCAAGTAGAAATTTTAACAAATATTGTGTAGCCTTTTGTTGAAATAGATTCTAGTTTGTTTCAATTCAAAGAAAATAACTTTTTTTTTTGCAAAGTAAAATAATAGAACTTGAATGGATAGAAATCCAGTATTGGCACATATCTTGATAAACATAAAAATAAAAATAAAAATATATTAATTAAATTAATACAGGTACAATTGCTTCAATAGCAATAAGCATCCAGACAGCTAAGTTACACACCAGAAAATTCATATCAAACGACACAATAATGCTCAAATACTCAAATACTATAGTAGACAATCCAATATTTAGAACATAGCCTCCAATAATAGCAAATATGAAATATCAAAACCTTTCTGCCAATCTGGCAGTGACAGCTCTAAGTTTTGAATATACCTTTCCAGCAGGGGAACCTAAGATAAGGCTACATAGAGAATCCCTTGCAATTTTAATGTTTGCAAAAGATCCTAATATGTGAATCTTGGTGTCTGCAATTACAATCCGCGTCTTTGTAGAGTTCTCAATAGCAAACTTTGTTTTACCTCCTTTACCGGACAGTCTTCCTATGGCACGAGATAGGTGCTCTCCTCGAAGGGTTTTAACATCCTTGATCTCAAAAGATTCTACATAGAGCTCTTCCATACGCAGGAGGGCAATTGCATCTATCACATCAAATCCAAGCATGAATGCATGAACAAAATCGGCACATTTCTGGAGGTTGCTGATGTCAGGTGTGTCTGTTCTGGTCTTCAGTTCAACCTTGCGAGCCTTGAGATTCATGCGGATGTCAATCTTCATCTGCTCGTATATTGGAGTATAAATTTCCATCCATGTTTTTTTGAGAGGTGTATACCGATGCGGCGGAACAGAAACCTTCCGAAACTGTACCTGACCTTCAGTCATCTCATGAGCCTTCAAAGGCTGAAAGTTTGGCTTTGGAAAAAATCCGTATGCAGGTTTTACAGGTTCCGGTTCGGCTGGAACTCTTTCAACTTCCATGGAACTGGTGTCTTCATTAGATTGTATGGAAATGGTACCTTCGCCGGATTGCATTGTTCACTCTGTTGGGAACCTCCCTAGAAATGTAAACAATAAAATTGAATTATGAAGATCTAAGTTCAGTCAGACCCAAGTCTGAGGGTGTCAATAACTCTCTTTAACCAAGTACCCATAAGAAATTCAGCGATACCGTAGAAAGAGCTTATGGAAAAAACAGTTGGTACTTGGTAGCAGAGAAACACAAAAATTATATCTATTACACTACATTTTAAAAGATCAACTAATAAAGTATATAAGCTATATAGCCCGCATATGCAGAGGAAACAAACACTCCCAGATCAAGAACACATCATTTTAAGGTGTTCAATGAGTTCCCTTATTAGAATTGCAAGGGAACTCCCAAAGTCCGGCATATCTAAATTTATGCCCAAATGGTCATCTGCATAAAAATATCTGAAGGTACCTGTTCTTATCCCAATCACTTCTTTGTTAGTTATTTCCAAGAAATTACAAGTTGCTCCAATCAACTTGGTATTCAGACACTCAAACAGAGATGATGCCACCAGGGGAGATATGTCAACTTAACGTGGGAGCAGTTAAACGCCAATCTCCCCGGCAGCTAAAATCTGCTGGCCTATGTTTAGTAGGAGTGAAGGAAGGGGAGGGAGGGAGGGAGGGAGGGAAGAGGAGGAATTGAGCGGACTTTCATAGTTTAGAAGAGAGCAGAGGAAGATGGGAAGGATGGGAAAATAGACGAGGCATCCCTCTGGAGTCCTTTTGCTTTCTTCCAACACGGACAGGAGAAGGACAGAAAGAGAGAGAATGATGTTTGTTAAATAATTTTGAAAAGATGTAAATACCTTCTTTTAAGTGTATTAATACATGAATTTAAGGGTCATTATCATCATAAATCTAAGGGTATCACAGGAAAATAATATATAGTTCCTTTCCTGTCATTTCTACTCAACCAAACAGGAGGAGGGATGGATACACTCCTTCCTCAGGGATGCCTTCCCATCTATTTTTTCATTCCTCCTACCAATCGGAGAGTTAAGCTTTACATAGGTGTGGAATAACTGTCTCAAAACCAAAACCTATCTTAGGGGCCATTTATTATATAATTTTGTTCACCATTTGTATATGTTTACTAGTTAATAGGAGAAATTTATGGGAAATGGTACGCCTTGATAGGTATTTTAGCATGAAGCTATGGGCAGGATATAAATTTCTCCCCCATTAGCCTCCTGGAAGAAATATATCATTGTCATTAAATCATTTTCTCATGAGAAACTTTTTTCCCACAGATAATATTCAGTCAAAACAAACAGATCCTTAAGAGAAACATATGTCTGATATTTCTCTAAATTGAATATGGCTAAATTCATAGCACATGTGAGTCCTAGAGTAGCTTTCTTTGCCAGCTCAGTCTACACATTGAATTGAAGAATTTCCTTATCATGTATTTTCCTACTCTAAATTAAAATAATTACCCTGTCTATTCAAAATCAGTCTCACTCCAAGGGAAAGTTTGCAATATACCAGATCATTTCACTTCACTGGATAAATATACCCTCACAATGTAGAACAATTTATGGTACAAGGAAATCGATAAAAATTCAGGCTGACAGCAGGGGTCAGTCACCAATGCTTGGTGTGATGGTATCATGGTAAAAGCTCGGATGAAAAGTGTGAAGGTGCAGGTTCAAGTTTGAGAGTAGCCTTGTGCAAAATAATGCCGAAGGCTAGGTCAGCTGCTTCCCACATCCTGCGTAGGCAGGAGTGGCTGGATTAACATTGGGTAACATTCTACAATGCAAACAAAAGGCTAGAACTTTAATAGAATAAGAAAATTATGATTATTACGTGGAGAGCCATGAGTGTTGTATGTGAGAAAAAGATACATTGTTTAATTTTATAAACCAATATGGTATGAATTAAGGCAAAACACGACCTGAGGCACTAAGGTCCTGTTTGATAAAAGTGAAAATTAAATATTGGAAATTTTAAGGGCTTAAGTTTTATGTACTAATGTGGTTTAGTGAAAAATGTGAATTTCTATAGGGAGCTTAATATTTTAAGTGGTACCAAAATTTCATTATCAAAAGAAATTAATTGAATAAAGACATAATTTACTCAGAATTAAGTGTTGATTGGGTTATCAAACATCATTAAACACTACATAATCTACAGCTGACTGAGGCAGTACCGGCCAGAGAAAAACAAGGTGCTAATTTCTCAAAATATTTAATTAATTTATATCATAGAAATCAATGTTATCATGGAACAACAACACAATTCACGCATCGTCAAGGCCTAACATTAAAAATGCAATATAATCTAGCACTGAAATACTGAAGCACGTAAAAAAGAAAATCAAAGGATTACAAAAACCTAGACAGCTAGTTGGGGAAAAAAATAGATTCAGTACACATTATTTGCACATAAACAGACATACAAAGATTCAAAAAGGTTACTTACGATCGTTCAATGTCAAACACTGAGAAGAAGAGAGTGAATTTTTGGTTGACAGTTGACACGAAGAGGTTTCGAGTAACGGCTGCTCCCTCTCTGCTCTCTTGCTCTTCACCCCTTTGGGCTCGAGGTTTTGATTAATAGAGCCCTAAACTAGCGAGATTTAAGAACAGGTTGGGCTGTTTCTAACCTAACTGGGCCCAGTTTTAACCTAATTGGGCCAGATTTCGAACCAACTGGGCCATTTTAATCCAAAATTCAAATGAACTCAAAAGATCAACAAATTAATAACTCTGAAATATTCAAGCCTTTGTGGGACTATAAGTGGGCTAACTTTGGGCCACGTTAAATGACAATGAGCAATAGTGCGTAATTCTATAACTTCTGGTAGAGAACATTGACGGCCAGGATCAAAATCTTATAATCCTACGGCTGGGGGGAAAGAACTAGGTTTTGAAGATTTTCTATATGAAGGCAAGTGTTGAGAGGAGAAGGATGAAACAAAAATGTGTTAGAAGTTGTTTGTTTAGGAGGAAAACGGAGAGGAAGTCTAGAGAGTAGTCGGAAGTGAGAGGTGGGAAAGTCACACTTTTGATTAAAAGTGTCATATTTCTTACCTGCCTACTCATCCCATTTATTTCCGAACACTCCTCTCTTTCCTTCTATTTGATCAAGTGTTGAGAGGAGAAGGATGAAAAAAGAATGTGTTAGATGTTGTTCGTGTAGGAGGAAAATGGAGAGGGAGTTTAGAGAGTAGTCGGAAGTGAGTGGAATGAGTGGTCGAAAAGTTGGTACTTTTTTTTTTTATTTTAAATAATTAAAAGTATCATATTTCCGAACCTACTCATTCCATTTATTTCCGATCACTCCTCCCTTTCCTTCTTTTTCCTGTCTTCTGATCTCGTATTTTATTAATTCTTGATTTTCTTTTTCTGTTTTGTTTTATTATTATTTTTGCAGGTCAACATTATTTGAGGAGCTATTTTGAAGGAGTTTGCCCATCTGTTTTGAGCTTGCTCTTTGTCTCAGATCCTCTGACCTTGGCTTTGCTTGAGGAGTTTTTTTTTTTGGTTTTTGTTTATTGTACTTGTTTTTTTTTTTTCCTTCCTCAAATGTACATTTTATACAACAATTAATTTTCTGGAAATTTTAATTTTTACACCGTGCTTTCTTGCTATCACAAAAATCATAGCACTGTCTAAACTAAAGCATAAAATATTAGTCAACAGCAAGGATAAATTAGTAGTGGAAATAGGAAAATAGTAATATTAATCATGCTATGATGAGAAGCTTGGTTTTAATTTTTGCTATCTTTGAAAAAAAGGAGATCGGATAACACTAAAGAAAGAAAGAAATTATTTTAATGATGTTCGGAGAAAAAAAGAATATTTTATTTTATTGAAATTACTATTATTGTAGTTCTCGGACTCCAGAGTTTGAGTAGTAAACCAGCTAAAAATACCTTTTGCCTGCATTCAAACACATCTAAAACAAACCACTTAAACAAGTCTATTAATCACTGAAATAACTGTTTAACTGTTTTCTCCAAATCTTGTTTAGTTATATTCTGGAAAACACCAAAATAGGCAGATAGAACTTATATATATATATATATATATATAAATATATTATGTATACACACACAATGTTGAATACTAGAACAGACAAAAGCAACTAGCTACTATATATATTCCTGGGATAGTGTTGACCAACCCTCAGAATTAATGTGCCAGCAAAAAAAAACTTGTCTGGTCCCTGGACAGAAGATAGCACAGCACAGAACAGTAATGGCACATTGCAGAATTTTCAGTATTATAAGGTAAAAAGTACTGTAAGAGATATTTGAAATATCAAAGTTGTCATGGCTGGAATATTAGGAAAGAGAAATTTGAAAAACTCTACTTAGCTGATAGTTACCCACATATATATTAAAAGCTGTGCATTTTCTTTTAAGCTAGGGATGCTATTATTACACACGCACATTAATTAGGGTATCTGTAGAATACCAAGAAGAAAAAGAAGGGTAAAGGGCCTAAAGGCAAATATATATATATATAGATGAATTTAATTACTATTATAACATTTTCATGTTTAAAATACAAACTCATATTCAAGTTTGGACTTTGGATGATCAGTATGAATTAATATATTGTGTACCAGTTAATATCAACCCGTTTGCATGCATTCACACCCTAAAACAAAACAACTGTCATTCATTAATATAGTAGCAATTAACCCAGTGAAATAATTTTTATACAAAAAATGATTCTGTCTTAATGACCATTAGAACTTGGTTAACTTACGTAGAACACCAAAATACTGAGCTTCAACTTTCATATATATATATATATATATATATATATATAAGTAAGTATATTAGTAGATCAGTGTTGCCCAATCACCAGCCCTGAAATTTGGCTGTGGAGATAGCTAGCAGCAGTGCAGCATACATTGAAGAAATTGCACTCAAATATATAGCAAATGATGTCATTTTCATTAAACTTTCTAGCCTTTGCCTTTATTTTTCCTCCCATTTTTGGAGGACAGTCAAACCTACTCATCAAGCAATTTCCTTTCTTTTCCTTTTCTTTTCCTTTCATTTTTCTCCAAACCAAACAAACCTTTTGTGTTACTTGGTGCTGAACTGTCAACCACAGGCCGTGGCACCAACTGTAGGCACCCCCATCCAATGGCTCAGAATATGATGAACTCATAGCTGATAAATGCAACACACACAATGACATGTTAATGCTAAAATCATAGGTTATCATATCAAAATAAAAAAACTAATGCAATAGTAGAAGCTCTGCATTTTTGTAAAAAAATAAAAAAGTTTATGAGGCCAGATATATAGAGCTCGAGGGGATTATAGATTTGATCCGAATTTGATAAGGTTATTTTTTTTATTCAATTTGTTATTCAATCAGTAAGGTTTAAACAAAAAAGAAGAGAAAACGTAACACAAATAAAATATGAAAGAATATGAAAAAAAAAAAAAAAAAAAAAACTTTTATTAATTGTTTTTGAAAAAGAACACTTTAAAAGTGAAAAAAAAAAAAAAAGATAGGGAAAAATGAGAAAATAATGATAAAAACGAATTACTATGTACTTGATACGGATTATGGAGTATATGTTGTACATGTTACTATATTATATATTTTGATGGATCGAATGGACCATAAATTTTTTTGGTCTTTTTCCTTCACGAATGGACCATCATTCACATCCTATTTATTTAGTTAATGAATTATTAGATTTGAATTGTTAATGGATTATCAAATCAAATATTCAATTTATATCCGAGTTATTGGATTGAATTCGGATCAGAATTCCAACCTGGCCTAGATATATGAATTATTGGATTGATATTTATAAATGCTTATAAAATGATGTTGCTGTATGAACTTGGAATCTTGATATATTTATGTAGGGTTTTGTTGGGTGAAACATTTTCATTTAGCAATGGTGTGATTCAGCTCATTTAAGATTCATCTTAATAAACAAGATGAATTCGAATAACCGATAACTCTTTTTGTTATGCTAGGCTCCTGTGAATAAACTCATGCACATCTCTATGGATTGTTTAAATAATAGGGACCTCCATGATAATTTTGAAATAACACTTACCTTACTTGTTCTAGAATTGGCCATTGGACCAGTAAAAATCTATCTTTTGCTGGTAGACTATAGCTAATAAGATCAATTCATTTCTCAACACAGATGTATTGGAGTTCAAAGTTCATATTACCAGCTAGTATCACTGATGAATTGGAAAGTATTTTTGGTGCATTTCTATGGCTGGTCCTATTCTGAAAACCTCAGGGGCTAAAATTGCTTGGGAGGAGTGTTGTCTCCCAAAAAGAGCTGGTGGGTTGGGGCTCCCTAATCTCATTACTTGGAATGAAGCTGTAATCATGAAACAGTTTTGGAGAATTATCAACTCAAAAGAAATGCTATGGGTGCAATGGATAGACACTTACCTGTTGAAAGGAAGAAATATTTGGGAGGTCAAAGTTCCTGGCCAATGCTCCTGGAGTTGGAGAAAGCTTCTCAGCCTCACAGTATCAAACCACTTGTCAAGCTAGAAATTGGAGATGAGAACTCTTCCAATTTCTGGTTTGACAGTTGGAGTCACTTAGGGCCACTGCATCAACTAATTTCCCCACAACAGATACTCCATTCAGGTCATGACAGCACCACCAAACTCAGTACCTTCATTGGAAATCTCACATGGAGTTTCCCCACCTCCATCCTCACCTTACTCCCTCAGCTTCAGCCCTTCTCAGCACCGCCATCCCCAAATCCTCAAAGAAGGGACAAACTCATCTGGATACCTGGCCTCTGATTCAACCACATTCACCATAGCCTCAACAATCGAAATACCTAAATAAGGATCTGACTTCTCTGCCATGGACTCATCTAGTCTGGTCCAAGCCTTCAATTTCGAAGCACTCCTTCACTCTTTGGGTTGCTATCCAACAGACTTCCAACCTTGAACAGAAGTGCACTTCACATATATATCAATGCCACAATCTGCATCCTATGCAATGCTGAGCTGGAGTCCCACTATCACCTTTTCTTCCAATGCTCATTCACCAAAGCCTTATGGGCATTTTTTCAAGCACAATGTGGGTTCTACATACAACCATCCTCATGGTCTGATCTCATCACTTGGGCCTCTCACCACTGGAAAGGCATGTCACAATTCCACAGCAATTCAGTTTCCAAATTAAGCTTGTCAGCCCTGGTTTACAACATTTGGATTGAGCGCAACAGAAGGATCTTCCAGAAGAAGCAATAGTCAGCCAATTCAGTCCTTCATCTCACCCTTGAATCCATTCGATCAAAGCTCCTCCTTCGTCCAGTCAAGGATTCTTACAATCCTAGTTGGGTCGCATCAGAATGGGAGCTTCCCGAGTATGCCGTTCGTCCACCGGCGAAACCGCATGATCAAGCACCACGAAGCTTAGGCTTGTCGTTGGGGATTGATCCCATGGTCGCCGGATTCAATGGTGGCCTTAACGGTCTTGTGGAACATTTTGAATGTTGTTTTGGGCTGGGTGTAATGGGTCATAGGCTTCTTTGCACTTGGTCATTATATTGTATCATCTTGGGCTCG